AGAAGTGTTTAAGTCTCGGCTTGACAAAGCTCTGGCCGGGTTGATTTAGTTGGAATTGGTCCTGCCTAGAACAGGGGGCTGGACTTGATGACCTTCTGAGGTCTCTTCCAGTTCTATGATTCTATGATGAACATATTGCAGCAGACCTGAAACAATTCCAAGACCTTTTTAAGAGGGTCGCTGCCTCCCAAGAAATAAAATTACAAGCAGTTGAGGAGAAACAATACCACCTCCTAAAGAATATTCACCCCTCATCCCAGGGCAGAATCGCATTGCCCATAAACAAGGTGATTATGGAAGTGTCCAAAGACCTCTGGCATCGGCCCAGCCAATTTGCAAGAAGGTGGATAGGAAATATTTTGTCCCACATGAAGACTTGGACTTCCTGTTCTCCCATCATCGGCCAAACTCATTGGTGGTTGATGCAGCAAGCCAATGGGCAAAGGCCCCTCACCCTAAACCAAATAATGGAGATAAAGAACACAAGAGGTCAGACCTATTTGGGAAGAAAGTGTACTCCTCTGCCACCCTTCAGCTTAGGATAGCCAACTATTCAGTGAACCTGACCAACCACGACTTTGACAGCTTCTCCAAATTAGATGACCTGATGGAGCATTTACCAGACACCAAAAAGCCTATCCTCAGGGCATTCTTATGTGTGAGTCTCACAATTGCCCACACAGCACTGCTTTCTGAAATTGATATTGCTGATACTGCAGCAAGAACGATTGCTACAGCCATGGTTATGAGAAGAACATCATGGCTTCAGGCCATGGGAGTCCCAAAAGAACTTCAATCTAAGGTGGAATATCTGCCCTTCGACAAGCACAAACTTTTGCGACCAACACTGAGATCCTGCACAACAGGAAAAATTTGTGTACAACCTTGCATACCCTAGGAATATGCACACCACCCTACTCGTCAGCCCCAATTTGACGGTGCATCCTCTGCCACCCTGCAGCTTAGGATAGCCAACTATTCAGTGAACCTGACCAACCACGACTTTGACAGCTTCTCCAAATTAGATGACCTGATGGAGCATTTACCAGACACCAAAAAGCCTATCCTCGGGGCATTCTTATGTGTGAATCTCACAATTGCCCACACAGCACTGCTTTCTGAAATTGATATTGCTGATACTGCAGCAAGAACGATTGCTACAGCCATGGTTATGAGAAGAACATCATGGCTTCAGGCCATGGGAGTCCCAAAAGAACTTCAATCTAAGGTGGAATATCTGCCCTTCGACAAGCACAAACTTTTGCGACCAACACTGAGATCCTGCACAACAGGAAAAATTTGTGTACAACCTTGCATACCCTAGGAATATGCACACCACCCTACTCGTCAGCCCCAATTTGACGGTGCATACCTGTCTTCAGCTCATGGGCCATATGGTGGTCACCACCTATGTAGTCCAATGTGCGCGCCTACACTTCTGAGCCCTGCGGCACTGGCTGCCGTCAGCCTATACGCCATTGCGGAGTTCTCTGCAAAAGGCAGTTATTATACCGTGACACTTCCTGGAATCTCTCAGGTGGTGGACATCCCCAGCAATCTACTCGATGGGGTGCCCTTCTTTCAACCAGAACCATCAGTCCAAATAACGGATGCCTCACTCATGGAGTGGGGTGCGTCGATGGGGTGCCCTTCTTTCAACCAGAACAATCAGTCCAAATAACTGATGCCTCACTCATGGAGTGGGGTGCACATCTACAGCACCACAGCATGCAAGGCAAATGGTTACCACACAAAGCACTACTCCATAACACCTTCTAGAGCTCAGAGCGGTCAGGAATGCATGCAAGCACGTTACTTAATCCATCACCCACAGAACTGTCCATATCTCTAAGGACAACATGACCACCATGTTCTACCTAGACAGAGAGGTGCACGTTCCTAATCTCTCTGTGTGGAGGTGGTCATCTTCCAGTTCTATGATTCTATGATGAACATATTGCAGCAGACCTGAAACAATTCCAAGACCTTTTTAAGAGGGTCGCTGCCTCCCAAGAAATAAAATTACAAGCAGTTGCACGTTCCTAATCTCTCTGTGTGGAGGTGGTCAGCCCTTTGAACTGGTGCATCCAACATGGAGTCACATTAAAAGCAGCATACTTACTAGCGGTGAACAGGAGAAACAATACCACCTCCTAAAGAATATTCACCCCTCATCCCAGGGCAGAATCGCATTGCCCATAGACAAGGTGATTATGGAAGTGTCCGAAGACCTCTGGCATCGGCCCAGCCAATTTGCAAGAAGGTGGATAGGAAATATTTTGTCCCACATGAAGACTTAGACTTCCTGTTCTCCCATCATCGGCCAAACTCATTGGTGGTTGATGCAACACCCCATCTTGTGACCAGTAGTCGCTCCCCCTAACTACACTGGTAAGGTGAGTTAGATGGGGGAGGGGTGGAGCCGGGCTTCTGCCGATCCGGATTGATGCCTCGATGTTGACCGGACAAAAACCCGAGGTCCCTCTGCAAGAAGCTTCGTATTTATCCCTCTTATGCAGCCAGTTAGTCATCACCTCATCTCTTTTAATGCTGCTTCAAAGAGGCTTCTTCCAAGGGTAGGCACTTGCTGCTTGACTCCCAAGGCCCTCTATATGTCCAATCTTCTTTTTAATGAGCTCATTTCACAGGTATTATCTTGGATCTGGCTCGCAGCCCCTCTCCACCCTTGCAACTGCTGCTGGAGGTGCTCACCTTTCATTTTCTATTCACACTTCATTCATTTCAACAGGGCAATCAATGAAAGGGGAGAGATCTATTCTACTCCTAGCAAGAGACATTTTTCTTTACCTTAACTATTCCTAACACCTATAACATATAAAGAGCTTGATACAAAATTTCTATGGAAAAGACTGGATACAAGGTTTCTCTTAATACAAGGGATTCTATAAGAAGGCTTAACGTAAAGATATATCTAAAAGGACAAGATTTTATTTACACACACACACACACACACACACACACACGATGTACCAAGTTTCTTTTAATACAGACTTATATGAGAATGATACATGGTTATATGGAAATGTTACAGAGATTTATCCACAACACCATGGCAGATGCTCTGAGATGCAACTTCACCATCGATTGCGAGTGGGGAACTCTACCCACAAGTGTTTGCCCCACCTGTGAAAGATGGAATCTATTCAGTAACATACCTTTTTGTAACTGGGAGGAACACCAAATGTCCTCGCTTTTGCTCCTGTGTGGAACTGGTGAAGAGATCCGGGGAGATGCATTTCTAGTCCCATGGGATGAGCTGATTTACTATGCCTTCCCGCAAGTACCATTGATTCCTCCAGAATCCTGTGCAAAATCCATCTGTGCAAACAGACCTGGTTCCCATATTTACAGCACATGTCCATTGAACCACCCCACCTGGTCTCTCAGCGGCGCGATTTCCTTTTTCAGAATACTGGCAAGTTACTGCATCCAGATCCATACACCCTTCATCTGCATGCCTGGCTCCTATCTGGTTTTGAGGTGCAGAATTCACCTGATTGGAACTAGTAAGAAACATCCTCATGCATTGTGAGAGACAAACCACTAGAATAACTTACCAGCAAAAATGGAAATGGTTCACATCTTGGTGTCATCAGAGACAACTCAGTCCAGACAAATCTCCAATCCACACGATACTCAACTACTTATACGGCTTAAAGAGTAAAGGCCTATCAATGTCTTCTATAAGAGTACACTTGTTGGTCATTACTGCCTTTCATGACTGCACAGAAGAGTCATCCGTGTTTGCACATCCTGTGATAAAAAGATTCCTTAAAGGCCTTCAGAACCTCTCCCCACCTCATTGAACACTGATGGGATCTGAATCTGGTTCTGGAGACCCTTATGCGATTCTCCCCTTTGAACCCACGGCCACATGCCTACTATTGCTCCTCACAATGAAAGTGCTTTTTCTGGTGATCACGTCTGCAAGGAGGGTGACCAAGTTAGGAGCCCTAATAGTGGGCCCACCATATGGGGTATTTACTAGAGAGAAAGTGACTGAGACCACATGTAGCCATTATACCAAAAGTCAACACCTGCTTTCACATTAATGAACCCATAGTCTTTCTGAAGCCACATACATTGCTTACACACTCCAGGCTTCACACCTTTGATGTCAGAAGGGCTTTGGCTTTTTACATTGACAGAACACAGACGTTTCGCAAGTCCCCGCATCCATTTGCCTCTATTGTGAACTACTCCAGGGGCAATCCAATTTCCACACAATGCATTTCTAAGCTAATAACGGGCTGCATCCTCCAGTGCCACTCCCTTGGTAACAAACCGCTAAAGACGGCACCAAGGGCACACTGCACCCATGCTATAACAACATCCAAGGCATTTCTTAATGGGGTGCTCCTCAAGGCATTTATTGGGCAGCCACATGGTCATTGGACCACACGTTCTCAAAACATTATGCTATCATGCCCAGACTGGCATCTGACACATCACTGGCTAAGGCAGTTCTACCTGCCGTTACGAAGTAGTGACTCCGAGTCTCACCAGCCACAGCGAGCACTGCTTTGTAGTCAACTACAGTGGAGCACTCATGGGGACATCTCCCGAAGAAGAAAAGGAAGTTACTCACCTTCTGCAGCAATGACTGTTCTTCGAGGTGTGTTCCCCCATGGGTGTGCCATGTCCTTCCCTTCCTCCCCTCTACTTGGAGTCCAATTGCTCTGTGGTAGACCAGGAACTGAAGGGAGGGAGTTGGGCTGTGCTCAACTGTTAATCCGCTAGTAGCACGAGAGGCTCAGTGCATGTGCGTGGCCCGACTGCTAACTGCTATGAAAAGTATCATCCAGGGAAGACCCATCACCTACAGTGGAGCACCCATAGGGGGACCATGCAAGTAAGTAACTTCCTTTTTTAAAAAACTACTCTCAAACAGTCAAACTACTCACAAAAAACAGTCAAAAAAGCTGACAATGTTAGAAGCTATTAAGAAACAGAGATAAGACAGTAAATATAATGCCACTCTATAAATCCATAGTATGTCCACACCTTGAATACTGAATGTAGTTCTAAAAAGATTATATTAGAAATGGAAAATGTATAGAGAATGGAAACAAAGGATTAGAGATAGAGACGAGCTTCCATTCGAGGAATAGTAATAGAGAAGTAGCTGTGTTAGTTTTTACTTTGTTTTAGCAAGATCAGACTATGTAGCACTTTAAAGACTAAAAAGATGGTTTAATAGGTGATGAGCTTTCGTGGGCCAGACCCACTTCCATACGAGGAGAGACTCCTAAGTTTAAAAAAAATATGAAAGAAGAAAAAAGGGGATAGGATAGATGTATATAAAATCACAAATAGTTTGGAGAAGGTGAATAGTAAAGTTATTCACCTATTCATAGAACACAAATCAGGTGCCACTCAATGAAAATAATGCAAGAAGCTTAAAACAAAAGGAAAGCCCTTCACATAGTATACAGTCAATCTGTGGAACTTGTCGCCAGGGAAGTTATGAAGACCAAAAATATAATTGGGTTAAAAAATCATTAGATATTTCATGGAAGATGGGTTCAGCCAAAATGATCGAGGGGTAGGTCAGCAGATTGGCCATCTTATTTGGGAGAGTGGTTCTACAGTTCAAGATCAAAACAAGTGGTAGGCAGGAGACTAGAGTTAGAATGTTATGAAACTCAGAATAAATAATGCCTTTGGAGGAGGGGGAGCAATAGGTTATTTAAAGGAGACTTTGGTGAGCAATTCAGAATAGAAAGTATGTATGAGGAAATGAGGAGTTGGAGACAGAGGGAAAGCATCAGCCCCCCAATGCTGTGCCATAGTTCATTTTGATGTGTGAGGGAGAAGGATCATTAACGGATATAGTGTTGCACTGACAGCTAAGTTTCAATAGGGGTGAAAAGTAGAAGAAGCAAGAGAAGATATCAGAAATGTTTGGAGACAAAGCAGGCATTCTACATGTATCTTCGTTACCATCCCCCTACCTGGATACAGAATGAAGTTGGTAGTAGGGATGTTAGAAACGATTTAATTTAACTGCTAAAATTATTAATCAGTGCTTCAACCTCTGGGGGTAGGTCCAACAGTTGGGGCACGTCTGGATCCTGGTGTAATTTAACTGCTAAAATTATTAATCAGTGCTTCCACCTCTGGGGGTAGGTCCAACAGCTGGGGCATGTCTGGATCCTGGTGCCCCCTTCTGGGGAGCTCCCTGCTACCTTGTGTATCAGAAGCAGCAATGTTGGGTGGCAGCAGCTCCTGTTTGTGAGGGGCCTGAGCTCTCTGCAGACAGAGGCTGCTCTGTGGGATGCTGGAGCAGCTGCTGTCCACAGGAAGGTCTGGGGCTGCACCCCGGACATGGGCTGCTGCCACCCTGCACTGGCTCCTCAGTATTAGATGCAGCAGCGTGGGGTGGCAAGCAGCTCCCCTGCGTGCTCCTCAGTTAACACTTGGACTGGTGGGCTGGGACTGAGCCCGATTGCAAGTCCGAGTTTTAAATGCAGAGCATGCGTTGGGGGTGGAGTGGGGTTTTTGTGGTTAACCAGGACTGTTAACAGATAAGCAATTGGTTATCGGCTACTCGGTTGACATCCCTAGTTGGTAGTATGGAACAGTTAGCCAGAGACATTCCCTCCCCCGCCCCATGCCTTTTGAAATGACTGACTTTCTACTTTTTCAATTGTTAGAACCAATGTTCCTTCTAATCTTTTCTGTCCATGTGTGGATTTTTCCTTTTTTTTTTTTTTTTTTTTTAAGTGCCCCAATCCATGTGACAAACTAGTGTGGGCACTCTGCTGATCGGCTGGGCAGCATTTGAATCTGCCCTGAGCAGATGCACAACTGCACAGCTTACAGGGAATACTGGTTACAACCATGGTAGCAACCTTTGAGGTGAGATGGGTCTATAAGCACTTCAGTGGTGTTGACTTTAATGCACACACTAAATCCAGTAAGTGTCAGCTAGTCTGAAACAGTCGGAGATCAGTGGCAGGTAAAAATCTTTTATTTGCAGCTAAATTATCTGTATGCATTCACTTTTTTCTGCAAGCTCCAAACCGATTAATTCCTTACCATACATTAGGGGAAGCAAATTAACAGAGTCATCTTATTCCTGCCCTTCTGTTTTCAGTAGTATGATTGCTTTTGAGGGTTTTAGTTATACTCTGAAACTTTTTATGACTTATACAAGATATGGCTCTTGTTATCATTTCCTCATTCTCTAATTAATTTTCCCAGAGTGAACTGTTGGTAAAATGTTTGTATATCTGTAGTTTGGTCAGGTGTGAAAGTACAAACCGTAACTCTATCCACAATTCTTAATGACATGGTCGTGTGAAAATTTAGTGACATGTTTGCCTTATCTGGTCAGCTTCGGCTTGTTCATGGAAAAACCTTAATCTTAATATTTGGTTAAATTTACAGAAGAGATGAAAGCATTTGCCAAACTATACTTTGGGCTTAATATTTTATGATGGGCACTCCTATCCTAATTAGAAACTATATCAAGTGGTGTTGGGAGGAGGAAGGCGTAAAGCTGTTACTGAGATCTACTTCTGAGAAGATGATAAAGTGTAAGCACTCTGGGTATGTCTACACTTGAACCCTAGTTCGAACTAGTGATGCAAATGTAGGCATTCGAAATACAGCCACTCCCCGAGTTACGACCACCTTCACTTACGACCATCCGCACTTGCGCCCAAAGTAGTCGCAAATGCAGATCCAAGTTACGAATGGCGATCCGCACTTATATTCACTGTGGTCTGAGGGTGTGTCGAGACTACACCTCTCTGTCGACAGAGAGATGTAGATTAGGCACATCGAAACTGCTAATGAAGCAGGGACTTAAATATCCCGTGCTTCATTAGTATCATCTCGCTAACGTGTAACTACAATCAACAGCTGTTTTGAAACGCGCCGGTGAGATCATGCTAATGAAGCGCGGGATATTTAAATCCCCTCTTCATTGACTATTTCGAATGCCTACATTTGCATCCCTAGTTCGAACTAGAGTGCAAGTGTAGACATACCCTTTGTAAAAAATCAAACACACAGTTTCTGTACCTTCCTTCAGAAAGCTTTACTTTTGAATTATATTACTGTTCTATCAATGGAATGCGTAATGTCACTGGTTTGTGCACATTATCTGTGTTGGTATTTTTTCTTCCCCTTTGTGCTGTGTTCTGTATTCCAAAGCATTGTACACTTTTTTTATTGCCCATAGAAAAGAATATCTTCCTACAAGGATTTTTGTGTGTGACTATTTCTCATTTTTGTTTTCAATATCAAATTGAAATTATTTGCTTGCTTGTAACATGTTTGCTGCACATTTTGTATAATGATAGGTAGTAACTAATTTTTATTTAAACACAGGACAACACCTTGACTACTATTAGAAGACAAATGGCAAAGGAGAACAGCAATGGGACTATAGAAAGCACTCAGTCTAGTGATAGTGTAAAGAGTATGTTGGACATTGGAAGAAAACGCTGTTTTGAAAGTAAGCCTACCCAAGAGGAAGAGCCACCAACTAAGAAAGGTATCATTTCTTCCACAGCTAAACAGGGAGCCTTTCGAAAAAATTTGATTCCAATGCCAGAACAAAAACTTGCAACTCGTAAACTTTATCGTCTGAGGAGAAGAAAGCAACATTAAATGCTAAATGGAAGTAACTATTTACATTGTCTTGTGTGTAGGTAAAATGTCTCAACTGTCTGTACATACTTTAAAATAAAAACTGCTTTTATATGTCATGCTTTTCTCTCTGCTTTATCTGCTAATACGTCTTATAAGATATTTATTTGGCCTTTGACTACAACTGGTATGTTTAACTCCTGTTTGTCTGCCAGGCTTGCTGTTCACCTTCTTAAACCTTACTGTTTTCCCCACTGAGCTGTTTTTTAAATCTCTGAAGTGTTGATGCACTCTGTCATATAGTATGTGTATGCTGTACACATTTCTGGGCAAGGTGTTTCATTAGGTTATCCTATAGAAACGTACAAATGCTGCAGTCTAAAAAATCTATATATAATATGCAAAACTGATACTGTTAAAACTCAAATTAATTTTGGAATCTAGTGTTTCTCATTACTGGAGAAACTACACTAAGTAGGCATTCTAGTAACATCTGGCCAAAATCTACATAGTGGTTTTGCAGTGCTGAGATCTCCCTGTGCTTGAACCATGAGCCTCCTTGGCCTCCGAGCACCAAGGATCATGTTGCTACCTCTCCAGAAGCTAAGGAACATCAAATAACAGGTGTAACATCTACACAATTTGAGTGGGGATTGCAGACAGGAATATGTTGACCTAAACAAGAGTTAAGGAAAGGAGGTAATGGGACAGGCTAGAAGTTATTTTTCTACTCTTTCAAGTAATGAGCTAAAGATTTCCCCAGTTAACTTTAATCCATCTCCAGTTGTTATCTAGCCTGTGCTTTGGGATCATAAAAGACATATGGTAGTAAAATGAGAAGCAAAACACGGAGTTGCAGGTAGACCAGCCCCCTGTATAGGACTAAGAAGTAACAGCTGTTCAAAGGCATTCCATTCAGAGTCATGCTAAACAAAGGAGGAGGGGTATAGTAAGTTCCATAGGTCTAGGCACAGTGGTCACCAATCAGCACATTGGGATCTACTGGTAGATCTTGGAGCCTATGACAGGTGATCCTGACTGGTTTGGCCAAGAGGGTATCAAGTGCTAGCACTTCAGCTGCCTCTCCCCCCACTGCTACTCATCTCCTGCCCTTTGCCTTGGAGCTGCCCCTGCCCCTGGGGAGCTCCTGCTTGCTGTGCAGGACAGTAGAGGGAGAAGAGGGGCACTGATGTCAAGGTGCCCCCTCCCACTCTGAATCCTTTCTCCACAGAGCAGACAGGGGGCACAACAGTACTTGGGAGAGAGTTTGCTGGGTACTTTAGGGAGTGGTCTAGGGCCTTAGCCCCACTGTATCACTACCTTGTAGCCACCTGAGGTAAGCAGTGCCCAGTTGGAGTCAACATCCTGAAAACCTATCACTGTCATGACTCCCCTCCTCACCCCAAGAACTCCTGTATCCAAACATGGTCCCAGATTCTGCACCTAGAACCCTCTTCTACATCCCAACTGCCTGCCCCAAGAGCAGATCAGAGCCCCTCTCACATTACAGATCCCTTAATCCAAGACCAGAGCCTGCACTCAACCCTCTGCCCCAGCCTGATGAAAGTGAGTGAGAGTGAGGGTGAGCAAGAGAGGGAGAATTGAGTGAGCGGGGCGGGGCATCAGAGAAGGGGAGGGAAGGAGGTGGGCCAAGAGTATTTATATTTGAGGTAGATCTTGGATTGCTCTTAAATTCAAAAAGTGATCTCGTGCTTAAAAAGGCTGGAGACCCCTGGTCTAGGGCATAGCAGGTGAGCAAGCTGCTGATGTTGCTTTTTCTGACAAGAGAAGGAACTAATATGCCTATAAAGACCTAGAGCCAACCTTGGATCTGCATACTTTCACTTTCATAGATCAACCCTTGTAACTGCCAACAGGGAAGAAGGTGATGACAAAATTGAACAGATATTAAACACCTTGCTACTACAGACCATATGAAATACCTTCTGTGTTATTGATATTCATGCCTGATAGAAATTTGTAAATATTATTTGTCTGCATTGAACAGGAAAACAGACTGTAGAGTGGTGCAGTTATTCTACTGTTACATTTGCAGAGTCAGGAAATGCAAACTTTTCAAAATGTAAAACTTAGTTTTTGGTACTCTCTTTCAAGAGTACTCAGTCAAATCTTAAAGGCCACTTGATTGACTGTCTGGAAAGTGTTTGGAGAATTATTGCTTCCCCTTAGGTACATAATTCCAAAATGTCCAAATGTCTCTTTCTCAAATTTTGCTTGTCACAGAGAAAGATAATGTAAATTTTAGCAACAAAAACTCAGAGTGGAAGAACAAATTTCAACAATCCTGCAACCTTTACTATAGAATTTTACTATAAAATCTTAAGAATTCTCTTCACACAGATGGGCTGTCTAAGGGCACAGCTACACTACAGCGTTATTTTGAAATAAAGTGACGTCCTCACAGCAAGCCTGTTATTTCGAACTTATTTTGAAATAACAAGCTTCTTATTTTGGAATAATAAACCCCATTTCACGAGAAATAATGCCTATTTCAAAATAGCTATTTCTCTCTACTGCTGCTATTTTGAAATAGCTCCTCCCCAGGGCCATTCAAAGTAATTACTCCCCAATGCCTCCTGGGGCTCTAAATCAAGGTAGCACATTCACATTAGAGGTGCCAAGTTGGATTAATTTTGAGGCTTTCCTGTAGTGTGTACATGCAATTTCAAAATAGTTATTTTGGGAGTTATTAATCCGAAATAACTTATTTTGAAATACCCTTGTAGTGTAGGCATACTGCAAATTGAAAGTCACATGGCCTGTTATAGCACTACAAGTTCCCCAAATGATCTTAGCTATCAGTTATAACAAACCAAAAATATTTGGAATTGATTCTCGGGCTCTCTCTAACATACAATATGGTCACAGTAATAGTGTCAGACTAGGCTTTTTTCTTTTATTTATTTCAGTCACAAAGTCAGCCACATATACTGTGTGTCATCAGCATACTTTTATTATATAACTTAATACAGAGAATATATGGTGGAGGTTATGTGTGTGCCTGTGTTGGTTTTTGGACCCAGTGAAGAAGAGTGCTGGATGTCAACATGAAACTGGCCATTTGCCTTTCCAGTGTTTCTAATGCTGGTTTTTAGCCACTGAGCTGTGAAGTCCGAGTTTCAAACACAGAGCACCATATTGGTGCATGTAACAAAATTAATGTGGTGGAGATGGGACTGAGTATATGAGGGGATTCAGGGCTGGGGAAGAAGTTTGGGGTAAAGGGAGGGGATACTCCAGCTGAGGGTGTCAGCTCTGTGCTGAGGCCAGGGATGAGGGTTCAGGGTATGGGCTGCAACAGGGAGAGAGGACTCATCACAGCTCTCTCCCTGATGTAGGACCTGGATTGGGACCAGGGGAGAGGTGCCTCTCCATGCTGTGACCCTGGGTGCCTGCTTTACACACACTGATGTTTAGTTCAGTATCTTCTCAAGGTGTACTGCTGTGAATTTCCAAAGTACTCTCATAGTAGTTGTAAAGTCTACGTATAACCTCCTGGGTTTTCAAACTGCACCATTTTCTACAAAGATTTCATATTCCTCATATTTTTTTCCTTAAAAATTTCTGAATATAGAGAAACATTTTCAATAAGCTTATATGGTTGACCAGGAGACTCCTCCCTAACACTTATTATGTATGATTGCATTAGATTTTTTTTTCCAAATTTTTGAGAAGTGATTCCATCTGATGTCATTGGGAGATCCAGTTGCTCACTGATAGTTAATCAGCTTTAGTGTAATAAAAACAATAACATTTTCAAGGTGGAGCTCAGACTGCCTGTGAGTTTTGAGAGCTGAGTGTGCGCTTGAAGTTTTTAAAGTTTCAACACTGTCAACATTTTGTCTTCAAGTGGATTTCTTCATACATGTGTGAGGAAGGCAGTGCAGAAATCTTTCACTTTTTAACGTTTCCTTTCTTTACTTCCTTCTGCACACAAATGTGACTTTTCAATATACTTTTATACTAACCCTTAAGCTGCCATTGTGTCAAATCAGAAGTAGATCTGGGAATGCAAACCTTCAGCATCTAATGGAAAGGATGCAACTTATTTGCTTAAAGATTCAGTAGACAGTTGTTGGTTGTGGCAGAACTGTGGACATTTTACACAATCCAGCAAACTCCTACTTTCTCTCTGCTTCTGGCAGATGGGCATATTTGTAGGAGGTAAGATTGTTGGACCAGTTGAAGAAGAAAATGTGGGAGTGTCATGTAGTTTTTTTTTGTGCACTAGAAGTCAAAGTTGTACAATCACTGCAGTAAATTGGGAACCTGCAGAGTACAAATCAATGTCAAGCCATTCATATAACAGTTCACTGAACGTCTCTAGAGTATGCATACCATGTAAATCTAAGGCAGATAGTATCTATAGTACTGTTCAAACATGTATTTTTCAGGTTTGGGGATCGCTTTAAAGTATTGCATAATGTAAACATTTAATTTTTACTACCCTAACCAAAATCTCCTGCTAAGTTTGGAAATTTACTTCTTGGTATGTATAATGGCTTATATCATTTTTGCTTTCAAGAGTAATAAAAGTGATATTTATTTTTCTTTTTATAGGGTCCATTAGAAATGGGTGTAAAGGTGATGCAATAGACCAAAAGAAAATTGAAGACATGCAGCAAAACACACTAGAAAAAGAGACAGAAATATTAGATTTACAAGAAAGAAGTGAATCCCTAGACAGTCAATTAGCTATAGTTAAAGCAGAATTTGAAAAAGAAAAAAGGGAAAAAGAAGGGTTCAGTAAACAGGTAGCAAACTTGTACCTGGAGCTTTCTTCATCTGAAGAAAGGGCTTCTGGTTTGAGTGAGGAACTCCAGCAGTGTCAGGTTAGTTATGAAAAAATAGTTTCTGAATTAGATACACAGAAAGCCATAAATAAAGAGCAAGAGGAGAAAATTAAACAGCTGACTAAAGAGGTAGAAGCCTCTAGTCAAAACATCCTAGTCAAAGTGTCACAAATAAAAGCAGTGCAGACAAAAATAGATGAGTTGCATAAACTTGATTTAGAATCTTGTACTGCAGATATTGAGCTAAAGGATTTTTTGGGAGAATCTCAAAAAGATAAACCTTGGCAAATTCAGCTGAATTCCTTAAATACACAATGCCAAGAATCTGATATTGCAGATGTCAGACGAGAGAGCTCTTTCCATGGCACTATTGAAGGTATTTGGAAAGAATGCAAGCAAATTATTAAGGCCTCTTCCCAAAAAAGTAATCAGATCCAAAATCTCCTTCAACAAGTTGAAAATTTACAAAAGACCATCCAGGAGGCTGAGAACGAGAACAGTCAACTAAAGCTACAATTGGATGACATTACAAATCAGGGTAATTTGTCCATAAAAGAAAGGGAAAACCTTGTTAAGCAGTTACAAGAACAATTACAGGAAAAAAACTGTGATTCTGAAAAACGTGTAGCTGAAGATAAGAGAGTAATATCTCAGTTTGAGAAACAAAGTGCCAGCCACCAAAAGAAAATAAAAGCGCTTGAATGCCTCTTGGAAGCTAATAGGGCAAAAGATGACAATGCAACCAGGTTAGAACAAATAATTGAGGAAAAAGAATCTATAATTTTAAATATGCAAAGAGATGTAAAAGACCTGGAAAAAAAATGTATGAATTCAGAAATAAAAATCCAAGAATTAAATGATCAGGAAACAAAATTGAAGGAGGAAATCATACAGTTGAAGAATAATTTGAAAACTATTGAACATTCACTCCAGGAAAAGGGGAGAGAAGAAGAAGAATCAAAAAACATTACAGAACAGTAAGTACATCATTGACTGAGATGAAGTACAGCATTGACACTTGAGATGAAATCTAAGATGAGAGTAGTTTGAATGTGTCCCTATTCTCTTCCAAATAACACTAAGGTACTTATCCAAATTAAATTAAGAAATGGTTTAGATACTAAAATTTCTCTTTGAAAATCATTTGTATACACTACTGGCTATTTTCCACTTGTTTAATTGTTCATTTTTGTAATACTGCGTTTATGTAAGTAGCTTCCTTCCTGTAGCATCAGTATACAGAAGGAAACATGAAACAAACATAGATGTTGCAATTAAGTATATACTTTGCAAAACAGATTGATTTTATTAAATTAATACTCATAGCAGGAATATTGACTTGTTTTTATTGGGAAGGATTGAAAACTTCAAGTTTTCTACAGCGTACCTACTCTTTGTAGTAAATAGGTCTTGAGGTTTAGGGGGAGAAGGTTGGGTTGTTTTTCCCCTCTAAAAATTACATTAGGCTATCTTGTCAGGTGGAGACTGTCTGATCAGGTATTTTCACTTTATGGTATTGCATCTTTACTGTAATCACAGTATTTTCTAACTATAAATTATATCTCTACTAGTGAAATGGACATAGCCTGAAGAATCATTAAGCATATAAGTAAATATGCTATCCACCAGATTCTAGTGTCTGTCTTAAGCACAATCTCTCTACTGTACTAGAATTCTCAGAATATGAATGTTCAGGGTCTTCCACATCAGCTTGTATAATGCTATACAGTGAAGTGTACCTAATTGTGTATTACATTGGTGTGTAATCTTTCACAGAACTAAAGTAGTTCTTGTGTTTAAAATGGCCCCTGTATTTGTAGTTCTGTTAATATTCATCTGGCAAGACAAATTTTATCAGCTTGCCTGTAACACATCCTGATGCTATGCAACCTTTTTAGAGTAGAAAATTCAAATGATGAAGCAGAAACTTCATATATGGCAATATTTTAAAGCAGGCAACTCTTGACCTGTCAAAATTATTAAAATGTTGATAGTAGTTGTTGAATATGTAGCACTTTACTGATCAAGGAGTCCCATTTAAATCAAAGGTAATTATGAAATATAAAGTATTAGCGTAAGGATGAAAGAATTGGGCCCTAAGTTTATAAAGTGCTGAACAGCTTCTCCCCTAATTAAATCACAGGAAAGAAATTCCATTGTATGTTGTTGCTTGCATTTGTATTTATGGAACATCAAAGGAACTCTCTTAAGTAGCTTTGTTCCAAAGTTCATGACTTTCCGTGATTTTAAAAACACAAAACAGAAGTGTGTTTTTTAAAAACAACAAAAACACACTGAAGATTTTCAGTTAAATGTTATTTTGCAGCTTAAAACTCCTAGGGATGGAGAAGTGTAACTGTTTAAACAGTTAACTGATAAGCATCAGCTTATTGGTTCCTGCTACAGTTACATGCTGGCTTGCCGCGAGTGGGGGGTCGTTGCCAGGTTCACTGTGGAATCTGTAGTATAAAAATAATGCTGCAGAGCCTACAATGCGTGTAACCTCTAAAAATCCTAGTGGTTACCTTTTTGAAATTATTTTATTTCACATCTCTAACTCCTTCCTCTATAATATTGAGCAAGTTAAAATAAGCTGATATTTAATCCTTCCTCTTGTCTTCCACCATCCCCAGGGTAAAGAAAGAACTCTCTGAGAGGTCTGCCTTCATACGTTGTCTAGAAATGGATCTTCAGAGGAAAGACGAGGCGTATGCAGATCTGAAAGAAAAGCTAGCTGATGCCAAGAAACAAATTCAGCAAGTACAGAAAGAGGTTTGTAACCATAAGGGGAAAACACTCTTTTGCAGATTAAATGTAGGGCTCTGCTAATCAATTATGTGCTCTTGGTTACATGAATTTTTAAAGCATTTCATATTAAAATAATATTTTAAACATCTTCAGATTTAGAATTCTGAACCTAGAGTAAAAATGAACGTGAAAAATATTGATACAAAACCTATAAGATACTGAGGATTTACACTCATATTTTTATCCTTTCAATGCATACATGTCAAAACATTCTTGCGAGTAGCATATTGGCAATGGGTTCAAGATGACTCGAAAACAATGGCCAATCAGGTTACTGAGACGAACTTTTCAGACTGATCTAATCGTATCATTGTGAAATTTGTCGTCTTACAGGACTAACTTTGGGATTTTCCATTTCTTAGTTTGATGAAGACTAGACTTCTTATGAAGATAACACATTTAAGTAGCCTTTTGGAGAGAGGCAAAAGTTTGTCAGAAAGGGAGAGAGCTAATTTTGTTTCTCTTGCTCGTTTAAAATGAGGGTTTCAAAATCTGTTGATTTGTGAAAGGAAATACAATAGAATAACTTCTAGTTGTATTAGCAGCTAATAGGTACAGTAGAGTTCCAATATCCGACCTAAACGGGACTGATAGGTAGTCGGATTAACGAAAGTGTCGGATAATAGAGAGTGCTGAATTACCTGTAGTTGATTCGGGTGGCCTGGCCCCTTCCCTCCCTCAGGCACGGGCTGGGAGAATAGCCCCGCTCGCTGCCCCATCGCTCCGGGTGCTGCAGGCAGTAATGGGGACCGAGTGGCACTGGCAGGAGTCTCCGACGTGTGGGCTGGACTCTCAATTACCCACCGTGCACTGCAATTCAAGGGACGTCAGCAGCTGGGGAAGGAAAAACGGGCCAAGTCACGTGGCAGGCGGCTGGGGGCAGTGTGGGGTTTTAGTTTTGCTTTCAGGGGCTGCTGCTGGAGCCTTTTCAGCTGGGGAGGCTGCATGCCGCATGGCACTCCAGGGTTTATCTGGCTATGTTGGATAAAGCGGAATGTTGGATTAGCGAAGGTTGGATAATTGGGACTCTACTGTAACTACCAAACAGTAGCACAATTTACACTGAATGCTTACTCACTCAATTTTGCATTTTAATAAATTGATGTGTGTACTCTTGCACTAGTGGTTAATTACATGTATTGCTGTATACCCAGGGTAAGAGAGAACACTTCTTCTACTGCATCTAACCAGCATCCTAAATATTTAATCCTGAGCCATTTGAGAAGGGGCAGGAAAGGATTGACGTCAAATGCGAACCAAAACCTCTTTTTTAAAACTCAACCATTGAAAAATAAAAGATTAACTTTTTGGTTTTATATATATACAGCTGAAATTCTTACCTGACAAAGTTACCTCTATTGATATCTGTCAAACACAATAAATCTTCCCATTCAGTGACCAGACCTCCTTCTTAATTGAGAGGAAAATGTGCGGAAAACTCTGTACCTTCATTTTTTCAGAAAATGGAGAATTGTCTAATTTATTTGAAAGCTTCTCATGTAACCATGTTAAATACTATTAGTAAATACAATTTATTTATGCCATTTAAAAAAGCAAACAAATGTAGGATAATTGTGAACATTTGCTTATCCTTTCATGACTTGGACTACTTTGCAGGTGTGCACAATGCGTTCAGAGGAAAAATTATTGAGGAGCAAAGTTAATGAACATGACAAAACTAAAAACCAGTTCACTGAGGAACTAGATATGAAACATCGGACGATCCAGCAACTTAAAAAGGTATTTTAAAAAAATTCTTATAGAAGTTAAATGACTTGATATATCCTTCATTTGTCTTGAGCTAATTATCAGTTTCTAATGATATAAGGTCTAAACAGTGTTAAGACCGTCACAGGAAATAGGATAAAATAGAACTAGCCATGCTAAAAGTAACTTGGACAAGAACATTTTAAAAAAATTTATCATAGTGCTTCATCAAATTCCCTTTGATAGAATTAAGTGTCCAGTAAATAATGGATGAATGGGCAAGGATCTGATCTGAAAATGTTAACCAGGTGATGCTTACCGGTTAACTGCTGACATCTCTAGTTGGAATGCCTCTTTCTGGTGGTTGGAAAAGCTATGTATTCCAGATTTACTCACTATTAAGTATCTGCTCATTGCTTAATAAAGCTCTGAGTGAGACTTTCCAGATTCTTACTAAATGCCAATATGCATCTTTGTTTTCAAACATATTTCCTGTCAATATACTACTTAGGAACTATTGGGTAATGAGAAGATAGAAGAAATCTCAAAACAATACCAGAATGCATGTAAAGGTAAGTGATGGCCATTTTTGTTCATATCCTATCATGAATCAGCAGCATAGTGAGTTTTTGTGTAAATAATTTGCATACACATTTTTAATATATTCATACTTTAAAAATATTGTTTGACTAGAACAAATTTCAAACCTAGTATTACAATAGTGAGATCATAAGCTGCAGTTCTTCTTGGAGTGATTGCTCATGTGCATTCCAATATAGGGGTGTGTGTGCATGTGCCATCGGAGACTTTTCCCTCAGCAATACCTATAGAGCTAGCATGGAACCCCCTGGAGTGGTGACGATATATTGGTCCATATATACCCCTGCTGGCCCCCTCACCCACTCAGTTCCTTCTTACCGCCATGACGGTCATTGGGACAACCCTTAGCTTGTCTTTGAGTCGTTCTCTTCACTGTTGTTCCTCCTTTGTTAGCAATCTTCAGTTAAGTACCTGTTAATTTAGTTAGACTTCATTTGTAGTTTTCTTTTTACGCTGCTGCGGTGCAATGTGTACCCACGGCACAGCATGCCTGGCCCGCAAGGCTTTAAGCCCTGCAAGAAGTGCAACAAGTTTATGCCATGTGGTGACCCACACTCATCGTGTTTGAAGTGCTTGGGAGACTCGCACATTACAGACGCGTGCACAATTTGTAAGGCATTTAAGCCCAGGACCAAACGAGAGCGTGCGTCGCGGCTCCAGGCACTCCTGATGGAGGCGGCACTCTGGCCGGCCCCGGCACTGGACTCAGCACCAAGCTCCAACAGCGCACCGGCCTTAGTGTGTGACAGCTCCACACACCGTGCCTCCCTGGTACTGCAGAGGGCCAGATGTCACTCCCAGTCGCTGGTACTGCTATGGAAGAGGAGGCCTAACAGGGGTCGGTCTCTGCCCAGGTACGCACCCTCCATGTGCTCTATAGTGAGGCACGTGGCGCCAGCCAGTCCCCAGAGCCTGGGCCTTCTAGGTCGTGCAACTACTCTTCACCGGAGGGATGTGAGTCCTTTAGAGGATCTCCTGGACCAGTCCACCCTGGAGGCCTTGGAGGCAGCAAGGGTCCTTATAGACTCTTCTCTCTCCCCACCCCAGCATCCTCAAGACGGCACAGGGATGCCTGGTACCGCTCCCCTCCTAGGGTGCCTGGCAAAACAGTACACGAGGTGCAGCAGAGCCATGTGGCGTATGCAGCACCTCTCCCAGCACCAGCTACTGTCACACCAGTGCCGTTAGCACTGACAACGGATCCAGCACTGGATGCGATGCAGATTACCTGCCCGACACTGCTACTGGCACCGCGGCACCTACCATCAGGGATCCTGCCTTGGCCATGCCTCCTATTCCACCTTGGCACCGTGGCAAGCCAGAAGCCATGTCTCAGCACGCTGCAGGACAATCAACATTGGCAATGCCATGGTTCCCTTGGAGTACTTGTCCGACTCCGACGTGGACTCAGCATGGTCTTTGGGGGGATCCAGGTCCTGTTCACAACACTGGTGCCGGCACCATGCCTCTCCATATTGGTACCAACAGTGGGCTCAGCTGATCCCCGTACCAATAGTTCAGCAGACATGGTCGCCCCAAACACCCTCACAGTGGCCCTTTTGAGCCCCATAGGCGTACGCAACTGTCGACATCTTGCATGCAGACACTCCCTCCAGAGTGGCATTGCTGATCAACAAGATGGTAGCCAAGATTTCCGCAGCCTTGTGGCAAACCCCAGTGTCCATCCCGCCCACCGATAAACATGCAGAACAGAGGTATTTTGTCCTTCAGGAGGGTAATGAACACCTCTTCTCCTACCCTCCCCTGGGTTCTTTAGTAGTTCAGGCGGTCAACCAAAGGGAGAGGCAGGAACCGCCTGTGGCCACCCCCTAAGAATAAGGAGGCTAAAAAGACCCAACTTACTGAACCCTAAGAATAAGGAGGCTAAAAAGACCCGACTTACTGAACAGAAAGTTCTGTGCATCCGGGGGCATCTAATACCGAATTGCCAATTGGGTGTCAATGGACAAGTTTATGGACTTGCTCCCCAGAGACTCCCGTGTAGAGTATAAGGCCCTTCAAGAAGAGGGAAAAGTAATTTCCCAAATGGTGTTACAAGCAGCACTCAATGTGGCTGATGCGGCTTCACGAGTCATGGCCACTGGAGTGGTCCTGCCTCGCAGTTCATGGCTTCAGAGTGCCGCTGGAAGTCCAAAACACTTTACTGGATCTCCCTTTTGAAGGCACATTGCTCTTCTCCGAGCAAACTGACCAGCATGGCCTGAAGGACATGAGAGCCACATGAAAGTCCTTGGGTCTACACACACCTGCCACCCAGAGGCGGTCATGTATCAACAGGAATGTTCCTAGACTGCCTCCACAGGGACCATGTCCCAACTTTACCCGACGTAGGGGCAGGGGTAATAATGGCCGGAAGAATAGGCACCGCCCTCACCTAGCCCTGGATTCTAACCAGGGCCCCCCCAATAAGCCCCCTGGGTCTCAACAGGTGTTTTGACGGGACCCCCGAAGACTCCTTGCCAGTCTCCCCGTTACCCTTCCGGGACTGTTTATCCCGATGGGTTCTGGAGATAGTGGAAACGGGTTATGTAATCCTTTTCCACTCGCCCCCTCCTTTCCAACCCCCTACCCTGTCCCTTTTTTAGGGACTCCTCTCACAAGCCTCTGTTACAGGAGGAGGCTCGCCATCTTCTCACCTTGGGGGCAGTGGAATGAGTTTGCCCCCCACCCCTCCTTCCCCCCTGAATTTCAAAACGGGTTTTTATTCCTGCTACTTTCTGGTCCCAAAAGCAAAAGGGGGCCTTTTCTGAGGCCCAGGATTGGGTGCTCTAAATCTCTTCATTGTCAAGACAAAATTCAAAATGGTGACTCTGGCATCCATCATTCCTTCCCTAGCTCCTGGAGACTGGTACACTGCTCTCTACTTAAAAGACACTTATTTTCATGTTTCAATCGCCCCCTTCCACCGAAGGTTTCTGCGATTCACTGTGGGCCAGGACAGCTACCATTTCACAGCCCTTCCCTTTGGTACTTCTACGGCTCCCCGGGTCTTCACCAAATGTATGGTGGTAATGGCCACTGAGCTCAGAAAAAGGAGAGTCCAAGTGTTCCCTTATTTGGATGATTGGCTCCTCCGAGTGGAGTCGGAAACCCAGTTGGCAAACTTTCTCAAGAACCAGGTCTTCTTTTAAACCTGGACAAATCCACTCCTACTCAGACAATAGTATTTGTGGGTGCTACCCTGGATTCCCAGTCTCAGAGAGCTTCTCTACCCCGCTCCCGTTTTCTCACACTACAGTTGGCGATCAAGTCACTCCCGAACTTTTCAGTGACCACCGCCTGGGCTTGCATGTGTTTGTTGGGCCTCATGGCTGTCTGCACTTATGTAGTGCAACACACCAGGCTACTCATGCACCCACTACAGACGTGGCTATTGCGAGTCCACAACCCGGCTGTCCACTCCTGGGACAGAGCGTTAACCATTCCCACACCTGTCCTCCTTGCGCTGGAGTGGTGGACCCATCGAGCGGAAATCTGCACAGGGGTCCCATTCTCCTGGCCAGTCCCATCCATCCAACTGGTCACAGACATGTGGACATGGGTTAGGGAGCCCACCTGGGAGAGCTGCACACTCAAGGTACATGGTCCCCCCCCCCCCCCACAAAGCCTCCCTGCATATCAACATCAGGGAATTCAGGGCGGTCCGACTGGCTTGTGCAGTTTTCCTTCCCCACCTGAGGGGCAAGCCTGTCCTCATCCTGTCAGATAACGCGACAGTGGTGGCGTATATAAACAAGCAGGGCGGGGCTCGTTCACGTCGCCTGTGATCTGTGGCGATCAGCCTATGGGAGCTGATCGGGGCAGATATCCACCCAATGGCCTCCTATATCCCGGGCTCACAAAACGTCCTGGTGGACAGACTGAGCAGATCGTTTGCAAGCCACGAGTACATGAGTGGTCCCTGCATTGGGATGTTGCCCAAGCCATCTTCCACGTGTGGGGATTTCCCCACTTGGACCTGTTCGCCACAGGGAAGAACCCGAAGTGCCCCCACTACTGCTCCCTCATGGGACAGGGATGGGGTTCCTTAGGGGACACTCTCCTCCTCCACTGGCCGCAAGGCCTGCTGCACGTCTTCTCGCCCTTCCCACTAGTTCACAGGGTCCTGTTGAAAGTGCAGGAGTCCAGGGCATCATTAATTCTAATCACCCCAGCATGGCCCAGGCAACACTGGTTTTCACTCCTCCTCAACCTCTCATGTGAGAGGCCCATAACCCTCCCGCTAGTCCCGGACCTGATATCCCAGGACTTGGGCACGCTTTATCATCGAGACCTACGGTCCCTCCACTTAACAGCGTGGAAGCTCCATGGTTAATGACGGAGGAGCTCCAGTGCTCCCAATGAGTTCAAGAAGTCCTTCTGGGTAGCAGAAACCCTTCCACTAGAACCACGTACCTTGCTAAGTGGAAGCGGTTTTGCTGTTGAGCTTCTCAAAAGGGGGTGCACCTGAAGTGGGCACCAGTCCCCCTGATTCTGGATTACCTGCTGGACCTTAGGCTCCAGCATCTCTCTTTCTTGTCCATTAAGGTCCACCTAGCGGCCATCTCGGCCTCCCACCCAGGAGAAGGGGGAAAATGGTATTTGCCAACCCAATTGTCAACAGGTTCCTAAAAGGCATGGATAGGTTCTATCCTCATGTCTGGCAACCTGTTCTCCAGTGGGACCTAAACTTGGTGCTAGCCAAACTTATGGGGCCCCCATTCGAACCACTAGCCATGTACTTCCTCCTTCACCTATGATATAAGGTATCCCTCCTAGTTGCTATCACATCCGTGAGGTGGGTGTCTGAGCTTAGGGCACTGACATCAGATCCCCCCTACACAGTATTTTTTAAGGACAAGGTTCGGCTCTGCACTCACTCAGTCTTTCTGCTGAAGGTCATTTCTGCATTCCAAACTTCCCAGGATATTTTCTACCAGAGCAAGCTTTACACACATTAGACGTCCGTAGGGAGCTAGCCTTTTATTTAGACAGGACCAAACTGTTCCGAAAATCACCGCAACTTTTTGTAGCTATTGCGGAATGCATGAGAGGCCAACCTGTATCCACTCAGCGGATCGCTTCATGGATAACTGCCTGTATCAGGGAGTGCTACTCCATAACGGGCATTTCAGCCCCAACCCTTAGAGCACACTTGACGAGAGCTGTGGCAGCTTCCATTGCGTTCTCAGCACAGGTTTCCATCCTGGACATCTGTAGGGCTGCCACATGGTCCTTGGTCCACACGTTTGCCAACCACTATGCCCTGTCATATTAGGCCAGAGAGGATGCTGCCCTAAGTAGGGCAGTCCTTAACTCCTCCTTGGTTTCGACATCCAGCCCTCCACTTAGTTATGTTCTGCTTTGGAGTCACCTATATTGGAATGCACATGAGCAATCACTCGAAGAAAGAATGGTTACTTACCTCATAACTGTGATTCTTCAAGATGTGTTGCTCATGTCCATTCCAAATCCCCTCCCGCCACCCTTTATTCGGAATATGCCGGTAAGAAGGAATAGATTGGGTGAGGGGACCACCAGGGGTATATATGGGCCAATATATCTGTGCCACTCCGGGGGCTCTCTAGTAACCCTAAGGGTACTGCTGAGGGAAAAGTCTCAGACGGCGCATGAACACACCTATATTGGAATGGACATGACCAACACATCTCAAAGAATCACAGTTACGAGGTAAGTAACCTTTCTTTTTGTTTAGCCTGTTTCAGCTTTCCTATTTAGACAGAAATTGATGAAAAGGCTATAAATTCTCAACTGTCTCTCCAAAAATAAAATTAAAAAGTATTGTGTGGGAATTGTAAACCCACCTGTTTTAAAAGTCTGAGAAGGTGTGAACTATAATTTTAATTACATCTCACATTAAAATGCTGCTTTGTTAATGATAGTTACATGTTGCAAACTCTATGAGCATACTTCAGTTGAACAGTTGTTACCCTCTCTTATAGTATTGGAAAAAGACTCTCACGGGGAAACTTTTAAATGAGTAAATGCTCTTCCTCCAAAAATCCTGTTGGGATAAACCTTTTGCTACTAATGCATTGGTTTATAATTTTTGTTCCTCTCATGATTGGTGATACCCAAGTTTGACAACTCAGACCATCAGATCTTAAGTTTGTTCTTGTACTTTGACAGAGCTTCGGATCCAAAGCTTTTAATGGGCATGCTAAATTGGGGTGGAATGCTGGGGAGAAAACAAAGCCTCCTTTTTAAAATCTGTTTTTAAATCTTCAGATCTGCATGCAAAAGAAAAAATAATTGAAGACATGCGACTGACGTTAGAGGAACAGGAACAGACCCAACTGGAACAAGATCAAGTGCTAGAGGCCAAATTAGAAGAGACTGAGAGATTAATTTCTGGTAAACTACCTAACATTAGAGTAGAAGCAAAAACATACTTTTTAAATGTTTAGGAATGATTCTCCATTTTTATCACTGAGTTTTGTAACTATTGTATGACACCAAATCCAAAACAATAATGGAGTTTTTACTTAGGGACTACAGGATTTGGCCTACTGGTGGCATTTCTGCTATATCTTTGCTCTCTCAGTAGTTGTGACTGAGGGACTGTACTAGAAGAGGAGGGCTAATGTGGTAAGAAGTTTGTAATTGATGCAAATCGTGTTATTTCTTGTTCTTGTGTAATTTCTAGAATTAGAAAAATGGAAGCAGAAATATATAGAGCTGGAGAAGAGTAATAGTGAGTTGCTACAAAAAATAAACAAACATGAAGACAAAGACCTAGATGCAGTCAATGGAGAACTAATAAGTCTGCAAGAAAGACTTAAGGTAAATTTTGGTGACTTAGTTTTAATAATAGAGCATTCAATTTAAAGCAGGCAAGCAGCTACATCACCTCTTTTTAAACCAAAGAAGTAGGGAATGCTATAAAAGTACACATGCTAACTGTGTCACACTTGTAAAGGACTTCCTTCTGAAAGGTAAAGTAACGTTGCATAATTAACGACTGTGCAGCAAATGTGACATGTCTAACCAATCCTTATCCTTTTTCCACAAAAGTTAGTTTCTTTTTGGGCTCTGGCTAAACCTCATTTGAAAACTTTCTATATTTTTCAACCTGCTATTTTCTTCCATTAGTTCTCCAATTCATAATTTTTCGAATAACCACAGTTATTTAGAACATGCAAAATCTATCCTTTTAACACTTGATATATGAAGTGTTCACAGTAACTAAAAGGGATGCAAGTCCAAAAAGGCTTAATGCTGTGGAAGGTGTCTATGCCAAACCTCTGCTCTGTCCCATACTTAGTCCATCAGATTAGAATCTCTTATGATAATGAATTTTTTTGTCTTCTGACCCTTAACCTCCACTTCCTTACGATGATGACCTATGTTTGAAGCCTTGGGTAAGGGTGTTTTTTTAGCAGCAGGCAGCTCTCTGGGAAGGGAGATTGCGGAAGATCAGGCAGTATGACCTTGCAAAGCTGTAAATTGGCCTGGGCTTGTCTGCAAAACTAGAAGTTCTTCTTCGGGTAGTGTCCCTGTGGGTGCTCCACTGTGGGTGTCAGGCTCATCCTGGCGCCGGAGATCTTCTAGCTGTTGTTTGCCAGACTGTGCATGTGCGGTGGCCATCTTGCAGCTTCTCGCGCCATTTCCAGTCACGCGGTCCGGCCCTGCCAGTTCCTCCTAACAGTCTTTGGGTGCAGACTGAGAAACATCTCCCTCTCACGTTGTTCCTCACAGAATCCGAGAGGACAGAATTAAAACATTTGTAAATAGTTATCATCCTGTTAGTTATTGTTAGCGTGTTTTAAAAAAAAAAATTATAGTTTTTAGTCTTAGACAGTTTATCTAAAAAAAAAAATTATAGTTTTTAGTCTTAGCCAGTTTATCGAAATGTCTGGCTCCCCAGGCTTCAAGAACTGTGTGGCATGCAGGGAGTCCATGCCCGCTTCAGACGGACACTCATCTTACATAAGATGCCTCAGAGAGGGGCACATTCCACACAAGTGCTCCCATTGTTCAAAGCTGACTGCTAGGGCACGTAGAGACCGTGAAATGCGGTTCAAACTGTTGCTTTTTGACAAAGCCCTCGGGCCGCAGTCAGACCACCCACCGGAGTCGCCTCGCCACACTTTATCTAAGATGGTACATAAAAAGAAGGCTCCTTCCCAGTCTCACTCCTTGCCACCGACCAGAGTGAGTACAGGTGATAAGCCGGGCACCTCAGAAGTTACGGTGACCTATAGACCGGAGAAGAGAAGCAAGTGCGTAGTGCTTCGGCACCTAGCCCTGCAGAGCGTACTGCACCTCGCCCTAAGTCGACTTCGACGGCGCCGTCTGCACTGACATCCTCAGTACTGAGTCGGTTAGCACCAGTGACCTCCCTGCCAGGCATTACGGCACTGAGAGCCCCGGCACCGATTACATCAGCACCCAGCCCGCCGGCACCAACTCCGCCCCCGGCACTGACTCCACCTCCGGTGCTGAGTACGTTGGTACCGAGTGCTTCGACCACTGCTCAATCGGCGACGCCATCCACATCACCAACATGACAGGATATGGCACCGGATAGGGTGAGGAAGAAGGCGCACAGACTTCCTTCTCCATCTCCAAGCCCTGAAGCAGAACCCTTCTCTCCTGAACCACCATTTCCACCGGTACGTTCATATTGTTCAACCAACCGCATCTCTGGCTCACAATACCGTGCACCCAGTATGTCGCCTCATCAGAGACGTCATTACTATCATTGCTATAACTCTCCATCACCTCATATTCAAGAGGACACTCCAGATCACCAAGATCTCCCTCCTATTCAGGACCTCTCACTACAGACAACACTACAGAGGTGATTAAGTGTATTCGCCATACCATGACGACCACTGGCACAGGCACTATACTCTGAGAGAGCATTCACTACACTCACCTGCCCATTCGAGAGTCATATCACTGTCACTGGCTCCTTCATCTGATGCACCACATAAGAGCAGGTCCGCTTCTCCACGCATGGACAGATCACCTAAGCCTTCTGGTGACCAACCAGTGGTGACCCAGAACATAGTAGCGGAGAGCACCCATCTCTTAGATATGGAGGACACTCACCACCAGTCCCCGGCAGATGTAGCCTCATCTTCCCCTGATGATGCTGTATTCCAGGGAGATACCTCACCAACTGATGAACTAAAGGACTTCCAAGAGCTTTTTAAAAGGGTTGCCGAGAGCCAGAGAGTCTAATTGGGAGAGGTCTAGCAGAAACAACATCACCTGTTGAGGAACCTGCATCCATCCCACTCGTCAAAAATTGCCCTCCCACTAGATGAGGCGATATTGGAGATAGATAGCCCCCAACCAAACTCCCTTGTATTGGATGCGGCACAGCAAAGAGCTAAGGCACCTCAATATAAAAACTCAGCTGGAGACAAGGACGTTAAGAAGCTTGACTTGTTAGGCAGAAAGGTATATTCTTTTGCCACAGTCACTCTGCATGGCGAACTATTCGGCCTTTCTGGCCAATCATAGTTCTTCTTCGAGTGCTTGCTCATGTCCATTCTGATTAGGTGTACGCGCGCCGCGTGCATGGATTCCGGAGCTTTTTTCCCTTAGCAGTATCCATAGGGCCAGCAGGGAGCCCCTTGGAGTAGCGCCGGTATACCGGTGCATATATATCCCTGCTGGCCCCTTCACCCCCTCAGTTCCTTCTTACTGCCTGTGACGGTAGCTGGAGCATGCTTCAGGCTGATAGTCTATCTCTTAGCAGCTTATTTCTTATCTGTTGTATTATAGTTCTAGTTGAAGTTTTTATCTAGTTAAGTAGTTAAGTGTTGTAAATATTTAGTTAGATAGGGGAGCAGTGGAACCCTCCCGCGAGGGGAGGGCATGCCAGGGCCCCAGGGCTTTAAACCCTGTGCTTCCTGCTCCAAACCTATGCCCTGCGGAGATCCCCACTCCGACTGCCTAAAGTGTCTGGGTGAGGCCCATCGAGCTGAAAGCTGCTCTATCTGTAAGAGCTTTAAGCCCCGGACCAAGAAGGAGAGGGACTCCCGGCTGAAACTCCTGCTAATGGAGTCGGCACTGCAGCCTCAGAGCGAGGAGCGGCCTCACTCTGCCCGCAGCACACCGTCGGCGGCACCCCCGTCGGACAACAAGGCACTGAGACACAGATCGCAGTCCCCGGTGCCGAGGGCCTCCAAGAGCTCGAGGGGATGCTCGGCAAAGAGGAGTGCCCAGAAGGTACGCCCTAAGGAGAGGCACCTTTCTTCTAAGTCCTCCAAAAAGAGGCGCAGCCCGGACAAGGGCAAGAGCCCGGGGCAGCCCGTGGGGCTAGGAGAGGTCCGTCGGCCCTCCACCCCAAAAACTTTTGAGGTGGCCCGGGACCTCATTCACATGGCTGTGGATGAAGGAGAGGGCCCGGTGCCGCAGGAGCGGACCACGCCGGCGTCGGCCTCAAGTGCCCCCCAGCAGGCTATGGCCGGGTCATGGTACCCTCTGGGTGAAGGGCAGGCCTCGACCCAGCAGCAGCTTTTCCCAGTGCCGGGAAGAGCACCGGAGCCGGGACGAACGCCAGCACCGACCCCAGGCCTCTTCGTGGCAGCACCGACAGCGGCACCGGGAGCGAGCGCGCTTGCGGCGCCGGTGGCACTGGCACCAGTGCAGGGTCCGGTGCCGCAGATGGGCCCTTGGGCGGTGCAGGGCCCTGCACCGTACTATACGCTGACCGCGGTGCCACAGCCGGCGCCCCGCACGGCACCGATGCTGATACCTCTCCCGGCACCGATCCCTGCTCACACTATGGGAGCACCAACCCAGCAGCAGGCAGCCACAGCACATGGCAGCACCGGCGGGTTACTTACCAGTCCTGATGCCTCTCCCGGCACCAATCCCTGCTCACACCTTGGGAGCGCCAACCCAGCAGCAGGGCGCAGCGGCGCTGCACATGACGGCACCGGAGGGTTATTTACCGGCCTATCAGATGCAGCTGGGCACGGTACTGCTACAGCAAGGACCTCCACTTATGCCCCCACCGGCACCGCGTGCAGTGCACAGGGGCAAGCCATCGGCCCTGGCAGCACAGCGAAAGGCGCAGGCTTCATCGGTCCCTCCCTGGTCGGCATCGGAGTACTCTTTGGAGTCTGAGGCCGAATCGGTGGCATCGGCCAGGTCATCATGCAGGTCATGATCCCGACATAGGTCTTGTTCATCGCCCAGATCATCTCACCGGGAACCAGTGGACCAGCAGCAGTGGCAGGGGCAACCTCAGTGGGCATTCTGGACGCCCTGGGCATACCACCAGGCCCAGGGGCCTCCCCCTACGGGGCCGGCGGCAGGGTCATCCCGAAGGAGCAGCACCCCATCTGCCACCCCTTTGCCAGCCCCCCCACCTGGAGACAGCTTGTCTATAGCGGCAATGCCAAGACCCCTGGCTATTGGTCAGGAGCAGGGGGCTATGCCCCAGCCGGGCTCAACCTATATGGACATCTCTGCCCAGGGGGAACCAGGGGCACAGTTCGGCAAGGAGGAGGCGGTCCCCTCGAGGGAGTTCTCGTCATCTTCACCAGATGAGGCCCTGGCTGACCCCGCGCCCCAGCCCCCGTCGATGGACTCCAGGGCACACCAGGAGCTGCTCCGAAGGCTGGCGGTCAATCTTGCGGTCCAGCACGAGGAGGTTCATGAGGACCTAGATCCTATGGTGGACATCATAGCGACAGCGGGCCCTGGTCGAGAATCTTACGGTCCAGCACGAGGAGGTTCACGAGGACCTAGATCCTATGGTGGACATCATAGAGGCAGCGGGCCCTGGTCAAGTGGCGCTCCCACTGAATAAAACGGTGGACAAACTGTCCAAAACTCTGTGGCAGACGCAGGCTTCTATCGCACTGACCCAGAAGGGGGTCGAGAGAAGGTACTACGTACCCCAGGCGGGGGACAAGCATCTTTTTAACCACCCGGCTCCAGGATCCATAGTGGTCCAAGCCGCAGGGCAGAAGGAGCACCAAGGGCCTCCAGGTCCTACTCCGAAGGAGCCCAGGAGATTGGACCTACTTGGCCGGAAGGCCTATGCCACGGGGGGCCTCCAGCTACGTATAGCTAACCAGCAACTAATGCTGGGGCGTTATGCCTTTAACACATGGGCCTCTATGCAGAAATTTGCCAGCCAGCTTCCTCCTGAATCCCGCCAGGAATTCGGGGCCCTGATGGACGAGGGACGAGCAGTGGCACGTACCTCTCTCCAGGCGGCCCTGGACGCGGCCGATTCGGCAGCCCGCACTATGGCCACAGGGGTTGTTATGAGGCGTAGTGCGTGGCTGCAGGTGTCTGGCATCCCACCCAACGTGCAGACCACCATTCAGGACCTGCCTTTTGAGGGGCCGGCCTTATTCTCAGAGCAGACTGATTCCAAGCTTCATAGTTTGAAGGACTCAAGAGCGACCCTGAAGTCGCTAGGGATACATACCCCGGCGCCTCAGAAGCGCTCCTTCCAGACTAGACCCTACCCTAGAAGGGGGCAAAACAATGATAGGGGTCGCAGGAGGGGCCGTAACAATAGCCGCCCTGACCTCTTCAGAGGCAGGCGTAGGGGCCCTCGGTCAGACTCTGAGAGGCTCAGGCCAGTCACCCGGTCACCAAACTAAGCCATCATTTTGAAGGTACGCCAGAGAGCAGAGTACCAGTAGCGCTTCCCCTTCCCTTTTCAGGGACCCTTCTCACGAGACACTCCTTCGGCAGGAGGTGTCCAACCTGTTGGCGCTAGGGGCCATAGAAAGAGTGCCCCCAGACGTAAGGGGAAAGGGTTTCTACTCCCGCTACTTCCTAGTACCCAAGGCGAAAGGGGGTATGCGTCCCATACTAGACCTCCAAAACCTGAACACCTTTATAAGGAAGACAAAGTTCAGGATGGTGACGCTAGCCTGCATCATCCCATCGCTCAGAAAGGGGGACTGGTACGCTGCTCTCGATTTGAAGGATGCGTACTTCCACATTTCAATTTTTCCGAGTCACAGAAAATTCCTATGGTTCACGGTGGGACAGGACCACTTCCAGTTTACGGTCCTCCCATTTGGACTGTGTACAGCCCCGAGAGTCTTTACCAC